AATAATAAAATTAAAAAATAGAATAAAGTAGAATAAAATATAATAAACAAGCATAAAACTTTGCTATAAAAATGGCAGGTAAAGGTAACATGGCCGATAACGTGACATTATGTCAAGTACCGAAGACGAGCATGGTTGTGTGTTCATAAGCTGTTCACAAGTCTAACGGCAGATGGAAAGAAGCTGTTCTTATGGCGAGAGGTTCTGGTCTGGATGGACCGTAACCTCCTGCCTGAGGGAAGCGGCTCAAAAAGTCTGTGACCCGGGTGAGAAGGGTCAGCTGCTATCCGACCTGCACGCCCCCGAGTTCTGGAGACGTACAGGTCCTGGAGAGATGGAAGGCTGCAGCCAATCACCTTCTCAGCAGAGCGCACAATGCGCTGCAGTCTATGTTTGTCCCTCACTGTGGCTCCAGCGTACCACACAGCGATGGAGGAAGTGAGGATGGACTCAATGATGGCCGTGTAAAACTGCACCATCATCTGGGCCGGCAGCTTGGCCTTTTTCAACTGCCGCAGAAAGTACATCCTCTGCTGGGCCTTTTTGATCAGGGAGCTGATGGATGGCTCCCACCTAAGGTCATCTCATCATGTGTTTCAAGGATGACAACTCGGATCATGTCGGTAAAAGCAACTTGTCAACGTGTGTGACATCACATGGACATCGATTTCTACACATATTTGTAAATAATCAAGCATTTTGAGAATAAATATCAATCATCACATAGTTAGCCGACTCGTTTTTATGACATCTTTCATAAACCCGAGAACTCTGAGGAGTGAGCCGGTTACAGGTAGGGATGCACCGATCAGGTTTTTTGCTGCCGATCACCGATACCGATATCAAAGAATGCTGATCACCGATACCGATCACGTGGATTGGCCAGAAATTTTCTACAACATTATAATGAGTGCTACAAACTACATAATCTGGGAATAAAGGAAATGCAACCTAATCTAAAATGGTGTGTGTTAGGGTTGTCACGGTGTGAAAATTTAACCTCACGGTTATTGTGACCAAAATTACCACGGTTTTCGGTATTATCGCGGTATTTTTTTTAAACGTGCTACATTTTCACACAACTAAGTAAACCCTGTATGTCAGGAAATATTGTCTCCAGTTTGTGTCTAAATTTAGCCTAAAATGTGTTATTTTGTAATTATGTTGTTTATTTGTTTACATTTTCCCCCTTTAGTCTTTAAAATACAATATTTGCCCATAACTTCTTATTTTATGTCTGTTTGATGTCATCATTTTAAAAATATTAGATCAGATGATACTCAGTACTCAAGTAGCCTTCTAATCAGATACTTTTTTACCCTTACTTGATGCTGGGTTATTTTTCTAACCCAACTGCTGGGTTAAGGCTGAATTTTTAGAGGTTGGGTCAATTTAACACATCATTGGGTTAAAAATTCTGACCCCAGCGTATTGGGTTAAAAAAATGCGGGAAATAGTAAGATCCTCCCCTTTGTCTGTGAGCCCGCTTCACCAGAGGATGACACGGACATTAATGGAGCTCCACACCAGCAAGGATTTAAAATGAGGTAAGACGTTACTAATAAAGAGTTTAAAGATTAATTTCATTAAAACTGGACATGTAGTTGATAAAGTAACTGATTTTTAGCCTGTCTGTTCAAGACAACCGACTCATAGTTTAGATTAGGTAGCTGGCTACTTAGCTTCCTAGCATCGATATCGATATATATATATATATATATATATATATATATATATATATATATATTAGATAGAATGTAACACAGAGTCCACAGCAAAAGTGCTCTGGAAAATGTTGTGATCTTCTGTCCACACTCCCTGACATAGTGAGGCTCTACTGGGGGACGTTAGGCCTTCTGGCTATTTTATACCAGTGGGAGCATCCCCGCTAACAGCAGAGGGCCTTTATGCTACAGTCATGTGAATAATGTAACACTTTTCAATTTTACAGACAAATGGGTGGATGTGGCTTTGTTGTTGCTGCCAGTGCTTCTCCAAACTGCACCATACAAGTTGAAGGAGAGCGTTCCAACCAAGCAGAGGTTCAGCGGGCCTTCACTGACTTCCAACCTGTAAGTTCTGTTATTTTTTACTTCAGTTATCATTCACAGCCCACTCCAAATATGTTTCAACAGCTGTTTGTGAAATCATAACCTTTATGCCTAAATCTGTTCTTTTTTTCCTCTATCCCCCTCAACTTAGACTGGAACCAGTCTGGTGAAGAACCTGAATGGGACCACAGTGGAGCACCACATGTCCTTATGGCTGCAGAAGACCATCGATGTTCCCAAGAATTTTTATCATCAGTGGAACTGGAATATCCATCTGTTCTTAAACATGTTTTGTGTTGATGTCAACTATCCAAAACCACGTGCACAGATTTGGGGGTTTATTCAGACATTTATCTTTGCATCATGAATCAAATGCTGTGAAGCTTTGAGGGCTCATGTTGCTATGATGTAAGGTTGATTTTCTGCTGACTAAAGCATTAAGGTGAGTGTTGGGTGTTGATGGACATTTACTTCTCTACAGCTCTTCCATTAAAGTTGTTTAACATGTTAAAGACATTACAAGATACGAAATGTTTAATATTTGTCATTTAAAAAAATGCAATTAGTAGTCATTTACAAAACAAGTTTGAATATGAATGCATGTTTAGAGAAAGTAGAAAATGCAACTTTATTTGTTATCTTTGTATTTTGAAAATTAACATAATTTTTGTGATAAAGATTTGACTGAGACATGTTCATTTTGTTTTATTGAATTATTCAATTTGTATTTTATTTATTGTATTGTATTTACTATAAAATTGGGTCATTTTAACCCAAGTTTTAGTAATTTAATAACCCAGAAGTTGGGTTTTATTTTTAACCCAGTTTTGGGTAGTCCTAACTATACAGTTGGGTCATTTTAACCCATTGATTGGGTAGAAAGCATAACCCAATAAGCTTGGTCAAACTCATAACCCAACCCTGCTTGATTAAAATAACCCAGCACTGGGTCGGTCCCTTTTTGACCCAGCACCTGGGTTACAAAACAACCCAAATTGGGTTATTTTTAACCCAGCAGTTTTAAGTGTCAGGAAAATATTGTCCTCGGTTTGTGTCCTTCCAGTGAGCTTTGCAGATGTGGGAAAATGTCATCAGGCAGTAATCATTGTTAAATTCATAATTATTCTCGGAGAGAGACCAACTCTTATCTGCCCCTGGGAGTCCCGTAATGCATAGCGTCATTTCAGTATGGGGGTGTCCGCGACACGGTTTATATGCAGGTAGCGGCGCTGCGGCTGCTTTATATAGCGACTCGTTGCGTTCTCCCTCAACCCAAATCCTCGGATCACACATTTTAGCTAAAACGCTAACGTTAGCTTGCCTTGCGTTGACTGTAGAGTTGTGGGTGATGGTCACGCAGATGTGTCATGAGATTTGAAGCGTTGCTGCCTTTCACAGACACTTTTTCTGCACGTGCTGCAAACAGGATAGCCGTCTTCTATCAGCTGTCCCTCGGCATTCTTCAAATATCCAAAAGATGCCCGTACTTCCCACGTTGTCTTCTTTCAGGGATAATAAATGTCCTGAGTGCTGCCGTCTCCTCCTTTTGCCATTATTTCAGCTTTAGCTTCAAGAAAGTTTTAGTTGTAAACAACAAAGTGCGCATGTGCCGCCGGCAGAACAACGGCAACTTCAGCAGATGATACGGTGGCTGGTAAGGGTCACCGCGCCTACACCGCAGCCACGGTAAACCCACCGAGATAATATAGTTTTTTTTAAAACAAGACTGTTATTACTATTGTCAACTTTTTTTACCGGGGTTTAACGCTACACTGGTTACCGTGACAACCCTACCTGATCGGTCTGCTTTGATCTATTTTGAAAACTCCCATCAAAATCTATAGGGGCGCTATCGGCCGATTGGGATCAAATGCCGATCCATCGGTGCATCCCTAGTTACAGGTGAATCGGAATAGTTCAAAATAAAACGAAGCCCAACCCTATTTACACTTCAGTGTGTCATTCATCCATTCACACATTCACACGCTGATGGTGATGAGCTACATTGCAGCCACAGCTGCCCTGGGGCACACTGACAGGCAAGGCTTTCCAAGCACAGGCGCCACCGGTCTCTCCGACCCCCACCAGCAGGCAAGGAGGGTTAAGTGTCTTACCCAAGGACCAGAGATGGGAATTGTGGCATCAACAAGTCAACTGCATGCCGTGATTTTGTTCTGCTCAGCAACTGGACCAGGTTCATTCACTGTGCTGATTGAAATCACCTGGTTTAGTTGCTGAGCTGAAGAAGAACACAGCATGACTTGTTGATACCACAATTCCCAAGGACACAACAGCAGCATTCTCTGGTGGGATCCAGGATCGAGGCCACAACCTTCCGATTACTGGACAACCCGCTCTGCCTCCTGAGCTACTGCTGCCCCTTATTGAATGAACGTCTAGTCCTAATTCTGGGACGAACAGAAAAGTTAAAGTCCCATTAGTCATCACACACTGGTGAAATTCATCTCTGCATTTGACCCATCCCTGTGGGAAGCAGTGAGCTGCAGCAGTGGTCACGCTCAGGAACTAATTGGTGAAGTCCCCAGTCCAACCCCTTAAAGCTGAGTGTCAAGCAGGGAGGCATTGGGTCCCATTTCTGTAAAGTCTATGGTATGACCCAACCGGGATTTGAACCCCAATCTCCCAGTCCCAGGGCGGACACTCTACCACTGGGCCACCGAGAAGGAAGAGGACGTTAAAAAGAAGAACCAAGACAGAATATTAAATGTTACACTAAATAATTGTAAATCTCAATAAAAGCCCTTGAAACTTGTGAAATACCTCAATAACTACAGAAGCATCAGACAAATATATCCATAAAAACCCTGAAGCATCCAAAATTTGGAAAAACCAACACTTTTGGCCTCAACTGTGTTCTTTAGGACTTTAATTCCCTTAAAAAGTTTTTTGTAGACGTTAACAAATATGACATTGCATCATCCCTCTTACCTGGATGAAGGGCACTCCAGAGCGTTCAATAGCCACCACTCCTACTGTCTGGCTGAGCTCCAGGTCCAAAATTAAAATCTCTCTAGGATAAAGCAGCAGCATGTGGTTCCTTTTGGATGGCAGGTAGGACAGCTGGAGACAGTCATTCAACGTCACCGCCTCAGCACTGCAACATCACAAGCAGGAAAAAAAACAAACAAAGAAAAAAAGTTTGTTTCAGTAAGAAATATTGTTGAGCAGACACATTTTCTATGCAAAAAAAAAAAGAAGAAAACAGTTGTTCGTCTTAACAAGTTGATATCCCCACATTTGGCCTCTGGCTTGGATTCACAGTTTTTATAGTTTTAACTCAAAATCCAGACACCATTTCTAATTCAGAAGGATTAAAAATGGAATTTGCAATGACTAGAAATGCAAATCTAGACAAGAGGATGCCCTGCTACTGAAAAACAACATATGCATATGAAATATGCAAAAATAAATCAACGTGGTGATGAATTAGGAAGTCTTAAAACAAGTTGAAAACTGTTTGATTTAAGAGCTTAACGTTGGTATTTAGTCATGTGGCGACTGGAGAAAACACTTATTACTTTTGCCGTTTGTGAGAGGCACAGATGAATGAGGGAAAACTTAAAAGTGAACTGTGATTAATAATGAAAGGCTGATGAATTAGACAGGTATCAAACGAGTCACGCAGAATTCTCTTTGTATTCTATTAGGAGCTCTTGCATGTCAAGCTGACCTACTGTTTGCCTCAATTTCTTGCAAGAGAGTTTAAAATTCATCATCTATGGCAGCTGCTTCGTTGCTCTCAATATGACAAGAGGCAGCCGGAGACATTGGAGCAGTTCAGTCAACAAGACTGGAAGACCACATTTTCACATAACCATTGAGCAGATCCAAGGTCATTCCTCATGGCAACAACTTTATCCTCTTGGCCATGGAAGGATCAAATAGAGAGAAGAAAACTTTCTAACTCAATGGAGGTTATTATCTACTGGAGAAAGCCTAGCAGATAAAACTGGCTGAAAAGAAAAGCCTCGAAAAGTTATTGAGTTGAATCACTGAAGCGTTTTCTGCTTCCCGGAGTTCATCAAGAAAGAACAAAAAAAAAAGAACTGAAATGTTTGAGTCACTGAAAAATAAACCTGAAAGTGAAAGATAAATCTGTTATCCTCGAACAAATTAGGTGTTCAGAATCCTTCAGTCACAAGTTTATGAATAGTCATCATGGGCATGACTGTCGTATTAATTTTATTTATTTATTTATTTTGTGTCCTGTCTGGCTGTGAAGCAAACAGAATTAATGTCTGAATGCTGGTGACAAGCCTTACAGATTTACTCTCAGGTGGAGCATCAAAGCATCTGCTTTTAATGTCACGCCTGATACTTAAAACTTTATTGTTATTGTTTTTTTAATACTTGTAATTCTGACTGGACAGAGGTGAAAGAGAAAAGAAAAGACGGGGGGGGGGGGGGGGGGGGGGGGGCGTCCACAAAAACAAACAATCAGTGATGACAAGAGTCTGCTTCTAGACCTGCAGAAGGAGAGAAAAAAAAGATAAACAACACACAACAATACAACAGGAGCAAACAATCACTGCGTCAACCTGATGAGGAAATATTAAATCAGCATTGTTTTACCGAACAATCACACGATAATAAATCACAGTGCATTTAGTGCCAACCACAGCCTCGAGACATGTGCTGAACATGCCCAAGTCCATACTTATGAGAGCACCATGTGAGCACCTGTGTGTGTACCTGCGCTTGTATATGTAAGGTTTCTCTATAGGAGCATCCAATAGAGTGTGTGAGGGGCCACAGATCTGCCCCCAAAGATGTGTAGGAGATGGAAGGAGCTCCAAGTCCCAGAGATCCAGGAGCTGCCCCAGAGCGCAGGGACCCCAGGGAGACTGCAACCAGAAAAGCCCCAGGGGCATGACTGTCGTATTCATTTTGGACCCCTAATGATTGCTTTGAAGTGTTCTTCGTCTGTCCAACTTCCTGCTTCAATGATTAAAAAATAAACCAAGAGTTGATTATTTTATGGCTTCCCTCTCTTTCATACATGATCAAGATCTATACAGAAATTCCTTTAAATATTTTAAAAAGTGATGCTGAGGGTTCTAGAATATTTTCCAACTTGTCACAGTCAAGGGATCGGAACCGACAACAGTTGGTCACTTCTCTTTAGCTGATCAAAACAGAATTGTTTGTCAGCACTCATTGGATAGACCAGTCCTTATTTGTCACCTTCAATGGAAAGAACACTGTTAAGGATGGTGAGGAGCAACCCAGGAACCACAGCGGTTCAAGCCTATTATGAACTGGAAACTAACAGTCATTGATTGAGAGGCTGCTGATCCCAAAGACAAGTTTGGATGTCCACATGGATGAGCCAAATGTCTTTGGGTGAGAAGCTTCATGGTCAGATGAGATAAAGACGGAGTTATCTGGCCAAAAAAATCTGGTAATGTGCTAGCAGGGGTCAAGGTGAGACAAAAGAAGGAATCGAACCTAAGAACACTGTACCAGCTGTCAAACATTGTACCATCATGCTGTGGGACAGGTGCACAAAGAGGATGGGATAAAAAAAAGAGAAAGACTCTCTTCAAATTCTACAAATAAACCTGAAATAATCAGTTAAATGGCTGAAATTAGTGTTGTCCAAAAATGAGTAAACTAGTATCACAATATTTGTGAGATTTACAAAAAATTTACAAGAACTAAGCCTATAAATCAGACAATAGCAGAAGAAAAATAATTTTGCTCTGCATGTCGAGCAGCGCGCCAATGGAACCTCAGTAGCTCTGAATAGCATTGTGGCTTGCCAATCAGTTTGGTGGGCGGGATGTTACTGAAATTGAGCAAAACAAAGATGGCGTTGGCTCGTTTGAAACGGCTTTGGCACTAACTTTGCACAATTTAAACTTGGGCTTTTCTTTGAGTCAAGAGTACGCAGAGGTACGTAAGTTTATTTAGAAAAAAGATGTATTTGACAGCAGAGGGCAGACTACCCCATTGACTGACATCCGTAGCTGTGAGTGTGTCACGTCGTTCTTTGTCCAAAAGTATGCGGAGACACACAACGGGATACAACGTTGATACCGCCGCATGACTGAGCTCTGTCTATGGGTCGTGGGCAGTATATTTTCACATATATAGAATAACTTGCCAAGCTAAAGACCTATCATAAAGTTTTAAAACCCACTCTTAGCCTCTAAAGTAATTTTTAATTTAACACTAGCCCAAGGCTTGCCAATATGGCAAAACTCTCTCTCCAACATGGTCTAACACTTTATGACTTAATATCATCGTGTTGCCTACCCCAGCTGAAACTTGGACACAGTTGTTCGAACTGGACGATTACCCCGGAATGGATAAACAGGCCATTTTTAAGTTTCTGGAATGGCACCCCCAAAGCAATGTCCTCAACGCTACAAAAAATGTGCAAGGTCTGGTTAACAGCCGAGTCCATGCCAGGATGCCAATCTTATTAGATGAATTCTATCTTTTAGATGAATTACACATAGAATAGTCAAACATTCACCCTAAATTATACAAGAAAATTGTCGATAGCTATACAAATAAGTTGCCATGGTGAACACGACCTTCAAACATGAGTGGGAGAGAGTGTATAAATTTGATACAGAGATAAAATCTAGAATAAAATCAAACTTGTGCCTCCAATTCTTTTTTCAAAACCACTGAATAATAAATGATCACTGCTGCATGGAAACACAAAGCTTGAGAAGCAATCAAGCACGTAACGCCCAGACGAACATTAACAGTCTATGACGATTGCCACTATTCTTCCTCCACACTTATGAGAGCTGTTGTACCAATTTTGCTCTCATAATTTAAGCTCAAGTTAAAAAGTAAACTGTAGCAAATCTAAAGTCTCATCTTAAAGGTTCCATATAATGAAAAATCCACTTATTGGAGTTTTTTGCTGAAGTACGTTTCGTTTGCCGACTGCAAAACATCGTCAGAGCTGACGCTGATGGTGGCGTCACTTCCTACTCCGTTTATCCGCGGGCAGCAGAGGACGTTGTCGCCCTCTGCTGCCCGATCTCCCCTCTCCAATGATGCAGTCCCATGCACGATCCAATGAGTAAACTCCATCGTCTCTGTTCATGGTCCCACATCCACGTCTCCTTATCTCTATAGCTTCTTTCATCCATCTTTTGTATTTCTGCTGTTCAATGCTTATGATCCTTGTGTTGTCCCAGTTCATTACATGGTTTTCTCTTGTGCAGTGATCTGTTACGGCTGACTTCTTTATTGTACTTTCTGCTTCTTGTTTTGCTGCTCTTGTGTGCTTTCGACTTGTTTCTTTCTCACACTCCTTTCTATGTTCTATTGTTCGTGTGTTGAGTTGGCGTCTAGTTTCTCCTATGTATGTTTTATTGCAGAGTTTGCATCTTTCCAGTTTGTCTTCTACTTGCTTCTGTTTGGTTATGACGTTTCTTATCCTCTCCTTGAGTAGTCATAGACATAGTAGTTAACAGAATCAGACAGGACAAAACTTTACACAAAAGAACAAACCTCACAGCAGATGAAATAGCACAACTGATTGGACTGGTAGCTAACTCCACTTACTTCACATACGATGACACAATATGCAAACAACTGGAAGGCTTCGCCATGGGTAACCCGTTATCAGCCACCCTGTGTGAGTTTTTCATGAAAGGTCTAGAACAAAAAGCCGTAGCCACTGCCCCCACAAACTGCATAATAAAACTATGGAAACGCTACGTAGACGACATACTGGAAATCATACCAAAAGGACAAACAGAAACACTAACACAACACTTGAATAACATTGATGACACAGGCAGCATAAAGTTCACTTATGAGTCAGAAACAGAAGGCAGCATAGCATTTATGGATATGAAAATAAGCAGGCAGACCGACGGGACCCTAAACATAAACACATACAGGAAACCAACACACACAGACCAATATTTATTATGGACATCAGAACACCCCACCATACACAAAATGTCAGTAATCAGAACATTGTATCACCGAGCAAACAGAAGAACAGAAGAGAGAGACCGTAAACAAGAGGACAAACACATACAACATGCTTTCAAGACCTGAGGATACCCGACATGGGCAATAAACAAAGGAAAACAACAACAGAAAGAAATGAACAAC